TTGGACGAAGTAGGCTAGCAGCTGAAGAAAATGTTTGGTGAGTCAGTATTCTTGTTTAGTATTCGTTATCAATATCTGAAAATTGTCAAACAGGAATCGGACGACTTTGGGGCCCTAGCAGACATGATTAACCGTGAGTGTGAGCGTTTCAAACTACTCTCTTTAACGGACGATCAGTGTGTCTCATTTTCGTCAGGCCCTACAATCCCCCAGTGATTGCTGAGATCCGCATGCGGCGTTTAGCTAAGCTGGACCAGGATCCTGATCTGACAAGGAAGGACCTCGTAAGCGAATGCAAACGGTTGCTCACTCTAAAACACGACACTTCCGTAGCGGAACGGAATGGTCTCGCACCACCACCTACCGTGCACTTTGTGAAAAAAGCCAGGACTGTCTACCCAAGCAAACCCTTCAAGAAGTCTACGAACAAACAGTCAATAGCAAACTTGTCATGCGGCGTATGGCACTTCGCGCACTTTTGTCCGTTCAAACATCATATTTGTCAAATGTGCCATAAGCGTGGGCATAAGGAGGAATTCTGCAGTCAGGTCAGGTCGAAGAAAGTGAAGAAGCCTTATCGAAAGGGGAATTCTAAGAAAGATGACGCATAGCCTCTGTCCATAGTTGCCGCATTCCAAAGTGTGTGTAAAGCGGGACGACGATTTATCAGGGAGTTGATCAATGGGATCCCGACGTAACTGCAAGTTGACACAGACTCGGACATCACGATTATTTCCAAGAGCACACGGAATCACATAAAGAGGCCGAAGATGGTCAAGTCACAGAAAATTGCACATAATGCATCCGACGGTATGTTAGTGGGTGAAGTTACTTGAAAGATTGCTTGCAAAGGTGTGGAAAAGTTGGGAACGTGCTAGATTTCAGAGCGACCGAATTTAAAGCTTCTTGGTCTCGACTGGATTGAAAAGTTGCAACTCCTCGATGTTCCCTTGAATCAGATCTGTAACCGAGTTAGAGCAAGTCCAGCCCCATCATCAAAGTTCGTCGAAGACGTGATATGTACACTGAAACGAAAATTCGCCTGTCTTCCAGGATGGCTTGGGCCATTGTACAAAATTCAAGGCAATGCTGAGCTTGCGACCAGGTGCTAAATCAGTGTTCAATGCTAAAAGACTGGTACCATATGCAGTCATGTCAACCGTTGATCAAGAACTCGATCGACTGCAACGTGCAGGAGTCATCACAGCTATCAACTAGTCATCAAGGGCAGCATCTATTGTCGCAGTGAAGAAGGCAAAAGACAAAGTACGCGTCTGCGCTGACTTCTCAACTGGCCTTAACGCCGCGCTGGACAACCACCAGTACCCATTACCCGAACCGGAAGATATTTTTGCAAAAC